GAAAACTTTCACAAGAAACTCAGATGCTTATTGAAATGTATCTTATTGAATCGTTCAACTTGCAAGATCGATTTGTAGTTATAATGACGTCTAATTTCGTCGAATTATGATTTTTTTTTTTTCACGGGATTGATAATTCCGACTCATTTGTAGTGGAGTTATATCTGCAGTGTATCGCTTTTTTTAGTATAATTATGGAGAATTTTTTTTTAGGGGCGTGAAAGTTATAAAAATTCATAGTCAACACAAAAGCTCATTAAATTTGTTTGATAGACTTGTGAATTTCATGTAACTTTTAATACAATTATATGTTGCAAATTTGTATGATACAAGTTTTTCCTCCAAGTCATTGGTGGTTTATTTGTTAATTTGTTCAGCCAGGGAAGGAATGGAACCATCAAGTATTGGGATGTTGGAGAAGGCGGGTTGTCCAGGTACTTATCTATCTCTATAATGCCGTTGTCCATCTCAGGTTGGGATGTGAGTTGTGTTGTTTCAGTACAATTAATATATTGCCTGCTTAGAACCTGACTTTTGACGATGACTAATAGAAATAGTTAATGGCTTCCTTCCTATGTACACTGAGCTCTAGGTGCAATGTACTTAATGAAAAAAGATTTTGTTTATGGAACGTAAATATGTTATATTTATTTGCATAACACTACAAAATTACCAAATTGATTCTATGAAAATAAATTGTAGAAGAGTAGAATTATAATTTAATTTCATCATCCACGGTTAAAATAACTTGGAAAATTGCATCTAATAAAATATACTAAAGTATAGTTTCAGAAAAAAAAAGGTTACCCATAATCACTATTATGCCCTTGATTGAGCCCCATTCTTGTCAAAAAATATATATTTTTGAATAGTGTATTGATGAGAAATGTGGTTAAAAAATAAAGAAAAATCATTTTTATGAATAATTTTATTTTATTGAAAATGTATAGTTGAAGTGAGATCAAATCAATATTTGAGAATGTATTTTGATGGAAAAAATGAGGTATATGGTAAATGTGTGACATGGACTTAAGTTGATGCTGGTAATTTTTTAATCTTTACGTTA